TTAATTAATCGTCACAAAACTTCAAAAAGTTTGATTTGTTACACTAAAACCAAAATTCAAAACGTTTTTCAAGGTTCCTCGAGTTTTGCTTGCCAGGGTCCGATCCGCAATGAGGTCGATTCCCACGACGAAGAAATGTTAACGTTTTCGTGTTTTTAGGATTAAATATCAGCGTAACAGTAGCTGTCCCGTGACGTAACGGTTTTCCTCCCCTTTATGACGGCGAGTGCAAAATTTGCAGGCATTCAAACATCGATCGAAGATTTTTCTCCCCTTCGATACCGAGTTTTGTTTTTATTTATTAACATAGTGACGGACGGTAGAGCTACAAGACCTGTGTACCTTTACAGTTACACGTAACATCTGTTACTTTAACAACTGATTAATATCTTCACATATGTTTAATATATGCATATGTTTTATAGCTTAATAGTAGAGTTACAATATTTACTTTTACGGTGATTATTTGTAAATATTTCTAGGAGTAATAACATTCGCAAATTCTTGATTATCGATTAACGTTACCTGTGGCCTTTATTAGTTTTAATCGTATTTTTCGTGCTAGCGACGGGAAGAACCATGCTTTGTGTTCTTTACGCATGGCATTTTTATGGAATCATTTCAATACTGCTCATTGCCTGATCTTCAACGAAACAACCAAATCAGCCATTGTGAATGAGGAATGGATACGAAACTTAATCACAAAATAGTTATAAAAAATCAGGAGAAATTGAATAATTCGTGAGATGGGATGAGAAATTAAATGCTGAAATTGTACTTTCCCCATAGATTATACATAAAAGGATGAGAAATTCGCATTAGTTAAGCTGATTTCGAACAGACAAATTGAATAAAATTAAAATGAAGATTGCCTTGTGTTGTGTGTCTGAACTATATGGTGTTCAAAAACGACCAAAAAAAAAAAAAAACAAACACACAATCGAAACATTCGATCGGCGTCAAACGTTGTTCGAAAATTTTAATAATATATTCGACATTCGTTTACGTAGCGTGAGTAATTATATAATAAAACTAAACAATTTAATTAGTTTCTAACGTCTCTCACGCGATGACGTTTGACAGAATTGACGGACTTCCTGCAGAATTTCGATATATTCGAGAACCCTAAAAGCACTGTAGTTACTCTCTCTGTTTATCTTTATGTCCGAGCCTCATCAACGAACTGGCCATGCGGAGTTTCCGGATCTTCTTTACGTGTACAACATTTAATAAGGGACAATTTCGTATAGTCCTCCAACACATAGTCCTGTCAAAAACACTTTCGAGTCTCTAAGAAAGCGCGTTGGAGACTTAAATGAGCTACTTCGTCAAACGAAATTGTTAACATCTATTGATTAATTGATTTGGTGAATGGCGCTAATGTATTTTAATATTAATTAGCCTACTTTAATATTAACTAGCCAGTGTATTATCCATTCGGTCACTGGTGGCCGAATGGAGAATACACTGGTAGTCGGTTCTAGTTTATAAAATGAGTTTTCTTCGGGCCATTTTACATGGGGATCATTGCAATGAACTGGCTGCCGATTTCAATCCTAGATATTCTAGGCGCCAAAATTGTGTTTTTCCTGCTTTGCTCCATGTAGAACCCCATAACGTAATCCCTGACGTATTCTTGAAGTTTCTGAGGGGGTTAATTAATTAAGGTAACATTCTACCGCTCTGGAGGATCCCTCAGCTCAGAATTGCGGGCTTGTCTAAATCCATTATGATATTGTTTGGAAAGGACCATCTTAGTACCCACAGGGCAGAAAGAGAGAGTGGAAAAGGCCTTGTTATTTGATCGTTATTTTGTTAGTAAATTTTAAAAATATTACTGTTAGTAGCAGGATTAGCTCAAAGCTATCCATTAAAACAAATTCTGTCGTTTTTATTTTGTTATTTGCCATAGTTACTAGGGAATTACTCTAGCAATACATCTTTAATACCAAAACTATTCTTTCTCTAACTCATAAACCTATAAAAATCTATAGTTTCAAATGCGAAATTTCCAGAAAATAATTTCGGAAACAAATAAGTGAATCGATCGTAAGTGACTCCAAGTCGCGAGATAAGTTTGAAGGACGATCTACGTCATTTCTGTCTCCCAGAAACATCTGCCGTGCCCAGAATAAAGCAATCGAACCCTTTCGCGAGTTGACACACCGAAGAAAAGAAACATTCCTTCGTAATTTGCAGCAAAAATTTCCTATGAGGCTTGAAAGGAAAAATAATTATGGCGTAACTTTCTACTCAGCATAAATAACAGGCATTTTTATGTGGTTCTATGCCATTTCGCGTGTCGAAAGTAGCAACCGAATAACAAACTCCTTTTGCCACACGCAAACTTCCTTACCGATTTAACCACACAGACACGAAAGTTACACCTTTAATTAATCGTCACAAAACTTCAAAAAGTTTGATTTGTTACACTAAAACCAAAATTCAAAACGTTTTTCAAGGTTCCTCGAGTTTTGCTTGCCAGGGTCCGATCCGCAATGAGGTCGATTCCCACGACGAAGAAATGTTAACGTTTTCGTGTTTTTAGGATTAAATATCAGCGTAACAGTAGCTGTCCCGTGACGTAACGGTTTTCCTCCCCTTTATGACGGCGAGTGCAAAATTTGCAGGCATTCAAACATCGATCGAAGATTTTTCTCCCCTTCGATACCGAGTTTTGTTTTTATTTATTAACATAGTGACTGACGGAGAGCTACAAGACCTGTGTACCTTTACAGTTACACGTAACATCTGTTACTTTAACAACTGATTAATATCTTCACATATGTTTAATATATGCATATGTTTTATAGCTTAATAGTAGAGTTACAATATTTACTTTTACGGTGATTATTTGTAAATATTTCTAGGAGTAATAACATTCGCAAATTCTTGATTATCGATTAACGTTACCTGTGGCCTTTATTAGTTTTAATCGTATTTTTCGTGCTAGCGACGGGAAGAAGCATGCTTTGTGTTCTTTACGCATGGCATTTTTATGGAATCATTTCAATACTGCTCATTGCCTGATCTTCAACGAAACAACCAAATCAGCCATTGTGAATGAGGAATGGATACGAAACTTAATCACAAAATAGTTATAAAAAATCAGGAGAAATTGAATAATTCGNAACAGAAGCTAAAGCCCACAATTAAACAGAAGCTAAAGCCCACAATTAAACAGAAGCTAAAGCCCACAAGTGAACAGAAGCTAAAGCCCAATTTCTACTAGTTGAAAGGGACGAAGGTAACACTACTAACAGCTGTAGATTGAAAGGACGGTGGTGAAATATTGCCAATAGTTTTAAAGAAAGGTAGGAAACTATTAACGGCACTTGTAAGAAATAAGAGCGCGGCATCACTAGTTATAATGGGTTTTATAATTAAATTTCACTTTTTACACTTAAATTAAGTGATTTTAATCGTATAAGTACTTTTTACTGTTTCGAGTAAAATCGATCGTCAGCCGGTCTACATCTTAAAACTCTATCTACATCCCTATCGTTTCTCGTAATATTCCTTCGTATAATTTCGAAGATAAATCAAACTCGACATCAATTCCGAAAGAAAACCGACGAATCTACTTCCGTATTTCTGGACCGATTCCAGAATTCTCTCCCCCCCTTCTTAAGCGCAACATCCCTTTTGCAATTCTCGCGCAATTATGATGATGGATGAGATGTGGAGATGATTGCCTTCCGGTTAACAATGCGTTTTCGTATATATTACGCTTTCGCTGTTTGTTTTCTTCCTGTTAAATCCGGTGTCGTGTCTGTTAGCACGCGTAACAGGAGGATAATTAATTATTCCCTTACTTATTACAGTTAACGGTTTGTAAATCTGTAATTGTATGGAAAAAAATCTCGTATTTTTAAATGTTTTTCCCAGTAATTTTTATTGGAAATTCGTTAAAAATGCGGCTATTCGGGAGAGGGGTAAGTTGGCGAGTGTATTAATTGTATTCTTCAAATTGCACTTTATATAGGAGCATCTTTAAATATTTTCAGATAAGATGAGGGAATTTTTAGATACTTTCAGGTGAGATGAGGCGCATCTTTTCATGCTTTCAGGTAAGGTAAGGGACATCTTTAGATCCTCCTATATAAGTGATGAGATCAAGTGAGTAAAATGGCCTTTATCATATTTAATAATGTAAAATAACGGGCGAGGAGGCATTACAGTTACGCATAAAATTCGGTTACGTCGCCATTCTCATGACACTTACAAAACAGATGATTTACGCAATAATTCCCGCAAGTTTATCCGTTTATTTAGAGAGTTTCTCCAGAGACTCACAAAAGACGTTCCTAAAGTGTGTGTTAGAATGAAAATATCTTACGCGTAAACGGCATTTTCCACGTATCGTCGGGGTTTGTAATAAAAGAGACGGGTTAAACGGGGAATTTTCCCTGCTCCTCTTCTCCTCCTTCCATTTTCGCCCCACGCTTAACGAATCGATAATTCGGAGGAGGCAAAACGAGATGTCGATGAAGTTCTCTTCTTTCTCCTTTCTTATTCCCGATATCCGACAGGAGGGACGGAACAGACACTTAAAACGGAACCGATCTTCTCGTAGGAAGACTAATTTGGTAGAAGACCATTCGACTTTCGAGACCCGGAAAATCGGGAGTATCTCTATCAAAGCATCGGAAGGAGCCGTCTTCTTCCTACTTTTCTCGTTCTTCTCGCTCTCTTGGCGTTTTGATAAGAGCGGAAGAACCACCGCGCGCGGAAGTGGGAAAACCAGACGGAAAAAGAGGGAGGCTCACCTTAGGATCGAGTCTGCGGCGGCAGACGAGGGCTCCTCCGCCCGCTCCCAACATGAAGATGGCGACGGATCCGCGATCGATATCTTCTCTCTCCTCCGACCGCCCCTCGACCCGGACGGTCACGTGACGCGGAGCGGATTTTCCGGCTCCCGATACGGACCGTAGACGGAATTCGGAGCGGAGAGAGAGGGGACGCGTCTGCAGGAAGAGAAAGTAAATAGTGCAACTCACCTGACTTTCGCGACGACGGGGGCGAGGGGAGCGATGAACGACGGGGTCGACGCGGGCGCTGTGGCAAGCGCGCTCGCGCACCGGAGGCAGTTCATAGCATTCCTCCCCCAGCCGGTCCAGTAGAGACGAGGTGGAGCGCATCGTCTCCTCGCTCCGCTCGCCGGCCTGGGTCTGGCACGCGCCGATCGATGCCGCTGGCAACAGGTGCCGTCGCTACCTCCCACCGGTGCCTCCCGCGCCCTCTCGCGACGCGCGCACCGTCCCCCGAGGGGGAAAGATGGAAGCTGATGGGTCGTTAAGTCCTAAAAACTTTCCCTTCTAAACTTTTGTTAACTTCGCCCTTCTTCCTGTCCCACTTCCGGAAGGAGATATGCAACAACCTGCGTTAAGTTGGATCTTTCTCGTCAAGTCATGTGTCAAGTTTGACACGTCATATCTAGATCTGATATAAAAACACTGCTTATACTTAACAACCCCGAAAATATAAAAATAGCCGGTATATTTTGGGAAATATTCAAACGTGGGTGCCCGCGGAGAAGGAGAGACACGTGATACCAGGAGGCCCAATGTGCCATCTCAACCCGACATGGGATCTATAATTTTTACGAATGACCCGCATGCTATTAATAATATACAGCACCTGTATATCTTAAGAGGTGATTTTAATGAATAGGTAAAGTTTTCGCACATACCCCTTAATTAATGATAAAACAATTGATAGATCCTAGCACGGGAGGACACCGAATTGATTTAAAGCAAGATTCTTACAGGTGAACCTGTACATTTTAGGGGTTAATCTTTTAATTTCTCAATTAAATATCTTGTTTTTAGTGTCCCACAATAACTAAAAATAGAATGCCATGATGGATCCTCATGTAACTCGTGAATCCTGACACTAGGATGCACCAAATTGATTTATGTACAGGATATTCTTCCATCGAAGCATTGTAGAAAAGCATTAAGCCACCGAAAAAATGAATTATTTTATGAAAAATATCTTTAAAATGGGCACAAAATTGTATATTTATGGCTGAATTGGTGGAAGCGCCCCTTTTGTAATTTGTAATTTTTGTTTTGCCAATTGAAAAATCGATCATCTGCTAACAAAATTTGGGTTTTAATCGCTTGGCGAGACGATGAAGGGGATTTAATTTGGGTTGATGCAAGGAAAAATCAATATTGCTTAACTTTTATCTCCAATCTCTCGCTCTGAATGGTGTCCTTATTTATAAAAGTAATTTAAGATGTATTTAAATATATGTAACTGCAACATCCTGTTTAATTAATTTGTGAGAATAGTAAAACTTTGTCTGTCAACTTGTTTTAGTTGACAACTTCCACTTGACTAACTGGTGACATTATCCAGAGGTATCGCTCGCGATCTACAGGTTGGTATTCTCGAATACACAACCGCAACCAATTTTTATAAAAGTTTTCAAGGAAAAAGTATTATTAATATTTTAAACCTTAAAAATTAATTTAATTTTTAATTTTTAAAACATTTATAGCAATTTTTAAACAGATATTTAATATGTTTTAAAGATTTTTGAGTATAAATCGATGATGTTTTTTCTTACTAATTCAACTATGAACTGGTGAATATTTTTTTGTTAATCTGTCCAAAATTACTTTCTACAAAAACAATTTTAATTTTTTTAAGGTATATGGTTTAATCTAATTTATATTACTATATAAATATCATTTTAAAAAGTACACAAAGTTTGGAGAGAAAATTGTGATCTAATTCGGCCATTAAACACTTAGATATTAATTGATCAAAAGCTTTATCCTTTATAAACAAGTCTATCAAAAAGTTCAAAGGTCAGATTTGGGGATTTTAAATGTCACGTGGGTTGCTACAATAACATTTTAGTGTTGAAAATGCCCCGTCGAGTCGAGAAAACATTTGTTCTGTCGCCTTAGTGGATATAGAGTAAATGACAACAACAATATGCTAATTTATTGCTCTTTACTAACAGAAGTAGGTTCTGTATGCAAATTTCCTGATTTAATAGTATTAAATTAATCAATATCAGGGTTTCCCTTCAAATTTTGTTTATTCAAACATGTACTGTACAGTATTGACAATTCAACGTGAATTAAATTTACGTTGCAAAGAGGAATCGGGTATAATTATTCCGAAATTTCTTCCTTCAAATTCATTCTGTGTAACCGTATGAAATATGGAAATGTGGTCTAAAGTCCATTGCAGAATGCTTATAAATAATTTGGAGATAACTTCTCGACTGTACATTTATCTACGATCGATTTTTGTGAAGTACTCTCGTGCGTTTATCGTTGAGTAGGACTAATCACGATTCCACTCAACGATAAATTTTCGGTTTTCTTAGTTATATTGGCTTTCGGAGTAATTGTAAGAAAAAAAATTTGCAAAAAAAAATAAGTGCAAATTTTATTCTTATAATTACTCGAAAAGCCAATATAACTAAGAAAAATTCACTAAATTTGGATGGTTTCTGTTAGTTTACTCAGCTTCCTGATTGCTAAAAGAATTCTTTCAGGTGATATTCACTTAAAATGTCTTTTAGATTAAGTATAAATTTTTTAAAATCTACATTTTGGGCTATTTGGGCTCGTTGGAATTTTAAAAAGTGAATTATCAGAATCCTAAAATATACTATCAACTATTTGGTACGACTACTGTATAAGTTCCTTATTCTTCTTTAAAAAAACTCTTATTGTGTATTAAGGATTATTTTAATTTGAACTCCAGAGAAAAACATAATTTATACCGCATTCTGAATTTTAAAAAGTGGAAGAAAACAGAAAGAGGAAGTTAATTCTGACGTCTTTATCCCCCCATTTTAATGAATCAAAATTTGGAAGAATCGATGCTTTCATCTCGAATTTCATAAATAACTTTATTTTTAGATATGATAAAATCTTCAAATGTAAATATTTCAATACATTAAAGAGCATCCTTTCCACGTTACAAACCGTGGAATGATGGAATAAGGCAAAGCAGTACATGAGCGATCTGTCATCTCGAGAGGGGTTTCTATGGAAAACTGGCCCGTTTAGGTCTTACAAATGCCAAGAAAACCCAGAAAACTCAACGCTAGGCCACCGATCAGATGCGAACCCGCGACCAACTCATCGGTTTATCTACTGATTGGCACATTACGAATAAAAGAATTATACTTTAACACGAATATTACTAATGCAATACAATCGGGATCGGGTTTAGGGATGCTCAAGATGCAACTGCACCAAGTTCTGAAGGTTTTTTCCCGAGTAAAGCCGAGTACAATCGGATAGTAAACATTTTTGTTTCCCTTTTTTACCCCCATTAATGATTTCTGGATCCGCTATTGAATACAATGGGCAGTGGCAACCTTGAATACATCACAAAATAATAATATTTATCGATTTCTCGATGGATATGAGCAATAATATTACAAATCAAATGTACAACACGTAACATAATGTTTTTCAATATTCAGTAGACATCCCCCCAGACCGCTTATACGAGTTACGGAGAACCGTCGTAAAACGAACCTCGTAACTCTCATCACTCGGGTGTCATAAATTTCGGTTCGTTCCTAAAATAGCAAATAAAGTAATTAACTATCATAACATAAAATTTATATCAGTTGTAAAGCGAGGATCTTGCCTACTTCAATTCAAAAGCCGTAAATTTTGAGTAACGACTTGGATTCGCGTGCCAAAAACTAAAATGGCGACGGATCAATTTCACTAACAACTCGTTTATAAACAATTTTATGTAGGTCAATTTCAATTTTTTTCTATATTCGAATTGTAGACGAACCATTTATTAAACAGACAAAGCAAATAGAACAATTACAAGACGAAATTTGAATATTTTGGCGACTTTTTACGGAACGAAATCGCTCGTAACCAGCAAGTTTCTTTGGAAATCTTCGAGTTTAACGTGTTGCAAATAGTCCCGCGATTCTTTTTTAGTTAAATTAATTAATTTAATACTGGAAAAATTTTTAAAACATGAAAAACTTTATAAAAATTCGGTAATTCCATTAGCACTTAGTTAAATCAGAAGAAAAAAAAAACGTGAATCGGAGGAGAAAGTTGAGAATGTGCCAAATATTCATTTTTCCAGATTTATAATTGATTAAAGTAATTAAATTGCTTGTTCGTGAACGTCACAGCTGATATTTCACGTAACAATAGAAACTTTGCTTTAATTAATACGTAAGATCGGTTTTTATTGGCTCGTTTATTTGACGTCTCGCGCGGTTTCCTTTGTCCTTTCGTCTCGGAGCGCGATAGACGGACTCTTCTCCCTATTACGCTAGCGATCTATCGCGTTTCCGGCCACACCCCTTCCGGTCCCCACTTACTTGACGGGAATGGAGTAGTCTTCGTCTTACGTCCACTCTGTAGACGCCCGTAGGCCACATCTCCCTTCCGACCAATGGCTGAAAGAGCGGCACTCTCTACTCTGATCGATGTTAAACCCACACTTTGGGATTACCCCGCCTTCCGTGCACCTTTCTCTTGTCTGTAACCACTCTAACTTCCTTCACGTCACACGTTACGCCGCGTCACGCACGTTGCCTAAATGACACCGACCCAAATGACGTTAACAACCGTCTTCCGCTTATGCATACAATAATCAGTTTTTTTTAATACTCTAATACGCTAATTTTGTGTGTCTTTTACATAGTTTTATACGAGAATTTATATAACACGTTCCGAAAACTATTAAACACACTATAAGTAGCATCGTCTCTCCGCCATATTGAAAAGGAAAGCAATTTTGCGTCGCGTAAATCGACGCGCTACAGGCGACGACGCCACGTTGCAACCTCAAAAAGTTTAATTACGGGAAAAATTTCAAAAAAAAACTTCGTAATTAAAATTTAAAAATGCGTCTCAGCTTTTCCACGAATCAGAAATATCGAAAATATAATAGTATTGTTACGTAAAATGCGAGGATTACAAACGGTATTGTTAAGCTACGTAACAATAGTGTTATTATTTCGTTATATACGAAGGGAAGGGAGATAAAAATTTGAAAAATTTGAATAATTTCCGTTACGTAATATGCCGTTACTTTATATTTATTGTAAGTTAGAAGGAAATTTAGAATATGGCAAATTGTCTGACGGAGATGACCAATTTCCTTATAATTCACGTTG